TGAATCTGAAAGTTGGTTCTTCGATTATATTATTGCGAAATATTAATCCACCAAAACTGTGTAACGGAACCAGATTGGCAGTGAAAAAGTTATTGCCAAATTTGATTGAAGCTACGATCTTAACTGGTAAATCAAAAGGAGAAGTTGTTTTGATACCGCGTATACCTATGATTCCAACTGATATGCCTTTTGAGTTCAAACGTTTACAATATCCTGTGCGTTTATCATTTGCGATGTCCATCAACAAGGCCCAAGGTCAAACACTTCACGTTTGTGGTGTGAATTTGGAGGAACATTGTTTTTCACATGGCCAGTTATATGTTGCCTGTTCCAGAGTCGGTACCCCCAGCCGTTTGTTTATTTATGCTCAAAATGGAAAAACAAAAAATATTGTTTATCCAAATGTTTTGGATTAAGTGTGTTGTAAATAGCTAGCAATTGATTTCGATTTTAAATAAAATATTTTTTTGATTAAATAAATGAATTTGATGTTCCGATTTGTTTATTTTATTTCACTTTATACGTAGCGAAGCACGTACCGGGCCGCTAGTTATAACATAGTTTTATATGTATTCCTTAATATTTGTAAAAAAATCAGAATCTTAGCAAAACTTGCTACTTGACATCAAGAATACACAGACACAAGCACTCCTAAACTGTCACACTGATATATACTTAATTCAAATTCCTCTTATTTTAAATAGAGATTAATATCGTAGAAAAAAATAGTAATATAACTCATATTTTACAGTGATCCCAATTACAAATACTTTTGATTTTTATCTCCTAAAAATCTTTCATACTTACATATGTCGAATATCCAATGTCGAGCTAGTCATAGTTTCAAGTACGCAATACCAAATAATACAAAGTTACCAAAACATGTTTGAATTTTTCCAATACCTTTTGTACCATTAATCTGATGGGTTACTTTTTTGTTTTCTTATTTTAAAATTACCAAATGGTGACAAAAATCCTAAGATAGTTTCCTGTAATTAATCTCCTTCAAGTCTCTACTCCATAGGGTTTTATTATTAAAATTTAAATGTCTTAGAAATATTTTTAACATCTTTTTCTTAAATAATGTTACTAATTTCTGAATAATTAAAAAAAATGTTTTTTTTTGTAATAATTAATGATAAATACAGAAAACTTTATTTTAAAGCTCTTTACTTTAAGGTGTCATTAAATACATTTGAACGAAATGGTATCTTCTTTTAATTATAATATAATAGCCTTTCGATCTATTTCTCGAGCAAAAGTTCTACTTATCTACAATTGTTGTAAACATCATCCATCATCAGCTGATCGCAGTTTCGTGAATTAGCCAGTTTAGACATTAATTTTTCACACATTATTATCTCCCATTATTTATGAATTTGTCCGTCATAATGAAAAAAATATCCGAGGATCAAATTAATTTGATCATAATATATTATAATCCTATTAATTTGATCATAATATATTATATATAACACTTCACCCTCGTGGTTACAAAACGATACTGCTTCTGTTATCAGCGACGAACACTTACTTTAACTATGTATATTGTATGAAGCGTTAGCTTTTATTCACTACAGACATTCTGAGACATACATTTACACAAACATCACTGAAAGTATTTATTATTTCAGTGTCATAACGGCCACACTCCAGGACTTTATGAAACCTATCTACTTTACATCCGCATGTATCATATATAATATATCAAAAAAAAATGTAAAGGAAGAGTTGTAATATAGGAAATTTTTGATCTTTTGGAAACGTAACAGTATCGTGTGTTGTTACAAAGATTTTCACAAAAACGTAGAGTAAACTTGTTAAATAGTTGTCTGGGGAGAGGAAAACGCTTGAACGTATAATAAGAATTTATTACTTAGTCTTTTATAGTTCTGAAGAAAACAAATGCTTTTAGAACGCCTCTGGAGGAGAGAGGTATGGCGACAAATGTAATATTTATATTTTAAATATAAAACGATAAATCTTTCATGAATTCTAAGCAATAATACTCATTATTTTTTAAGAACAGAAATATTATTTCAACATGGCAGTAGCGAAATTAATACGAAATGGTAATGGACAGTGAGGTAACTCAGCAAAGCCGAATCAGTTCTGAAACTATTTGAATGGCCACAGAGGTGAAGTATATATATTAATAATCTAAAATTCATAGGCAGTAACATTTTTATTTAATTATTTTTGGTAATTCTTCTATATAATGTTACAGCTATATTTTCTTTCGCACTACTCGTACGTCACACCCATGCATGCACACCTCATAAAATATTTGCAATCACGTACACGTTTGTAACCCTACTATAATTTTGTCGGTTAAAGTTTTTGTATCCGACATCTATTTCATTATGACTACGGAGAAAAATATATTTTTTTTACTTTATTAACTTTGTTAAAATAGTACATTTTATGTTATACTATTTTAAAATTTTCTTTACTATAATATCGATAGATAATTTTAAGACAATAAAGCGATATAAGGGCTAAATCTTCAACGAATTTTCCTATGGCTGTTGTGTAATCATGGGACTATAGTTGTGTTAACAGATTACTAAACACAGACCATGGATGGCGCTAGTGATTAGCTAACATAATATTTTGTTAAACGCTCTTCATTGTGGAAAGACGTCTAAGATTGTTTTGTTTATGATATGGGCTCATTCACACTGAATTTGTGATGTCTTCATTTATTGTAATGAATTATTATTATCCATTTTTAAATAAGGTTTGGAAAAAACACAAACATGATAATATGCTAACGGGTAAATATTTTGTTTTTAACTTTGATCAAGACTTTAACAGAGTAACTGATATTCAAAAGTTGATTAAAACTCACCCAATAATGAATAAAAATACACTGCAGAATAAAGAGAAACGTAGAAAAAAATAGATAAATTTTGTTCAAGTCTTCAACGCCAACTTCACTTTCGAAAATGGTCATTTAAATATATTTTTGCTATATCTACCATGAGTGGATGTTAGTGGACAAAATACATTTATTATTTTTCATAATAATTGAATTGGCCATTATCGTAAAAAAATCTGTTCAATTGATACAAATTACACTACCCGTATTCATGTTTTTATTATATACGTTCTTTATTTTTAACAACCTCTTCAATGTAACGCCATGCTACCGTCACTATACATGTACAAATCTAGTTATTTGATAACGTTACACGTGTTTTATCACTTCATAGTTTCCATCAAGAGCAAAAGTTATTTTAAAAGATTCCAACCTGATACGAGCTGTTATGGATCCTTGATGAATTTACGTCAATGAACTTTTAATGTACTTACCAAAAGCTTCCTATTTAAAAAAGCAAATAATATTATACCATATTTTATATTAATAGGTATATACATAAAAACTCAATTTAATTATTTGGATTGCCGATATGTAATCCTATTTAAGACTATGTGTAGTATGTAAATAGTAAGATGGGTTTGTAGATATAAGGTGGTACATAACAGATCGTGGTTGAAGGCATTACTCTCAGGTCTGTGATAAAATCTTCATCCTTTCTTATAAAGTGGATATTATCTCAGTGTTAAGGATGTCAACTTGGGTCTCGAGAAACTTATCTAAAAACCGATTTTAATATTTTACTCAGTCAGTATTTTATACTGAGATCTTAGAATAAAATTTAATACGAATAAAATTTAATAGGAACCAATATAACACATAAAGATTTTAATGTAAAAATAGAAATTATTATTATATTTTTATTGACTTGATCTGTTTTTTTATTTAAATACCTATACCTATTAATATTTTATTTAAATTACATTTGTGATAGTAATATTGACTTCTATGTAGTTTCAGCATTTATAAAAGAAATAAGAGAATATAAAGTACGTATGTTACAATCTGTATGTTTGCTGTATTGTGAGGAAGTTCCTCATTTCTTGGTCACTAAGATTTATATCATGTTATCGTTTAGTACCTACAAATTCCGAGACTGGAACGTGATGTTCCGGAACACTCAAGATTACATCAAGATTCGTTCCGACGACGAACATTGATAGAGAATAACCAAATACAAAATGAATTTAATTCGTACAATTTTGTTTCAGTTCCATTCTTTGTAAATAAAAATATAGACTGGTAAAATTGTCACGTTTTATTTGCCTTATAGTTTTATAACGTAACTTCAACTGAATAGTAATTTGATTGAAAATAATTTCCAATCAAGCAACGGCGTAACAAATTAACCAACATGAATACAATAATTCTATTGAAGTATATTTTATTTTCTTTAATTTTCGCTTTGATACAAATGTATAGGAAAATAAACATTTCATGATTTACAAAAAAGGGTCCAGATTTAAAACACGTTAAAACAAGTGTTGTGAGTATTGTATGAAGTATAAATTTAAGTTTCAAAACTAACATTAAACTCTCAGACATAGCACAATATTTAATATTGAAGCTCCTCTCCCTGCAACGCGATGGACCTGGCACCCGCACGGTGAATCCATGGAATGCTGAGAAGTTTCGTCTCATTCATATAAATTTGAACGATGTTTTTATACCTGTCACTTATTCTCTTAACCCTAGAGTGCTCGCGCTATGAGCATTTTGCCGCCCACGGCACAATTTTCGTCTTATTTTGTACACTATGCAATTGTCAAGGTCAAGCGTCCGGGTAGCTGGCCCCCGGTCCCTCACCTTCTTGTTTTAGAAATAAGAATTAAATCAGTGCTCGGATGACCGAGGTTGTTGGGGCTGTGTCGCGTTTGGCGGCAAATTGCTCACCGCGCGACTACTCACGTAAGTAAAGTTTGTGGATCTTAGTTTTTACTAATGTTGAAATATTATTTGTTTTCATTGCGTATAGTATTATTTTAATGGTAATATGGTATGATATTAATTTTACTTTGTTTTAATTAATTATTGGGCCTTGTGTTTTTGTTTTATTATGCTTAGTTTATTTCTTTTTTAGATAAATATCGTGTGAAATGACAAACAAATACTTGCGTGGTTGGAAGAGGAGAACGATGGCGAGGAAGATGAAACTGTGTCTGAAAGCGACCGGCAAAGTGAACATAGTGATCATTGTACTGACACGGAGCAATCAGCGGCAGAATCTGACAAGGATGAGCCATCAACCTGTCGCGTATCACCTGTGCCTACTCAGGAGTCATTACGGCGTGGTCGTGGAGCTGGAGCCGCAGTAATACAAAATACGCAATCTATCACAATTCGAGGCGTATACAACGTCAATGCACAATAACTCAAAGATTTTGCCATGGCTATGATTAGACCACATATCGTTAGACGATCCGGCGTGATTACTTTACAGAAGGATCTGAGGAACCAAATCGCTCGATTTGTGCCACCGGAACATCAAAATATACCCTCAGTCCGAGAAGGAATATGCGCAGTATGTCCATCGAAGAAAAATAGAAGGACAAAAAAAGGGTGCAATAGATGTGCAAAATTACTGTGCAATGAGCATTGCATATATATGTGCCAGCAGTGTTTTGATGAAATACATGCTGTAAATGAGGAAAACGAATGATTTAGCTCTTAAGTTCTATTTTTATATTTTTTATTTAAATAATAATGAGGAAGTTCCAAAAATACTAAAATAATTACCTAAGATTTTCCAAAGCATTGTATTTTAATTTCTAATTAAAAAAGTTTAATAAATGATTCTTGTTCTTATAGTTGGTATTTTATTTTATCTTTAAAACATAATTACAAATGCATATGATTCATATTAACAAAAAGAAAACGTATTAAGTACGGGCGGCAAAATGCTCCCTACGCGATCACTCGCGTTTCACGAGAAGGCGCGACTACTCTAGGGTTAATCTTCTTATTATTATTTTTATCTTCTCTTCAACGCACTACTTTATATTCTTCTTTAATCTTTGCATTTATAAAAACGTAATAACAACATACATTTATATCATTTACCATTTGAAAACTCAAAATAGTTTATTATCTCTATCACCAACGCAATTAGAAATATGTCTAAAATATGTTTACTTTACCTTGTCTCTTAATATCTCTTCCCAAATTAGACTTTTCATTAGTTTTGAATACACATGATTCAAGTCTACCTTGCCCTTGAGGCGCATTATTTATAAATGGTAAAGTAATTGTCTGATAAATGAATGAGATGGACAATATAATTCATTATGTATAACCGTAAAATAAATTGGCGTGTTGATGTTACAATACTTTAGGCGTATAATGCTCATGAAGTTAATTAATGTATGTTTGTGTTGTAAGCAGAATGTGGGAAGTAGAATTATTAAAGCAGGTTTAACACATGCCGTAACGAGTGAACCCAGTCATTAATAATATTATAACGACTAATTCAACGTGGCTCCATAAATTTCCAAATTCACTCTTGTTGGTTTAATTTACATACAAAAAGATACTATTTACATAATTCCATCCGAAAAGGCAGTGTTCTTTATAATGTTTTGACGAAAGCCGTAAAAAAATAGTTAACATTAAATTTAAAAGTGAAGAATATTGGTTCAAATAATGAAGCAGTGACGACACATACTGATAATTATAGAAGGGTGCTTTTAAAATATACTATAATTTTTATTCAATAAATATTTTAAACGAGTTTTATGTCGTTTATAGACTTTTGATTCTATTAAGATTTCATTTTTTATTCTTTTTCTTTAAACAAGACGACTTAGATAATGGATTTTTAAACTTCTTTTAAATTTTACGAATTTTATTTAAGAACTTATAGACTCTATTCTTCTATATTATATAAAAATATTATTTTCATTAATGTCATATAAACCGAAAGCAATAATTAAAAAAAAAAACAATTTGTAACGTTCACAAGAGGTTAAATAAGTCTCTAAAATTAACGTAGGATCAGTGCTAATGGACCAAATGCATCGCGGGAGATGTTATAATACGATTCTTCTTCTTAGTATAAAAGTGCTTTTAAATTTGATACAGGAACATTTAGTTCATATTCTGAAAGTCCAATTACCCTTTCCTTTAACACCTAGGTAAGGACAGGATCTTTGACAGTTTCTCCAGTAACGATTTGTTATTAAAATCAGTAGGTACTTATAAAATGTAATTTTTGTAATCTCATATATTGTATGTATTTATTTTCGACTAGTAAATAACTGTTGATAATGTGCTTTTACAATCTGAAACCTGCTGGCTGTAAATTATGTAAGGGATATTTATTCCTCTTTAATCCATATCAGAATTTCATGATAGAAGTACATTGATATTATATCGTTTTTGTGATATTTGGAATGGACGTAGGTATAATATGTTGAGGTTACACACATTAAAATAAGGCTGGTTCAGTTTTCAAAGTATTCATTGTTTCTCTTGATATGTTTATTTTAATAGAGTCGGTCGCTCAAAGTTTTGAGATTAAGATCAATAAGTTTTATTTTAGTTGTTGTTCATAGATACATCGTTATATATGAGTTCTTTTCTCACAAAATACATATTTGGCTTTTAGTTAATCTATAAATCAATGTATTAAATTAAATTATTTATCTATCATATAACTTAAATATTAGTCGTCCCGCTCAATTAGTCACATGATGTTAATAATGGAAGATACTACATATTTATAAAACTGAGGTAAATGTCATTCTATAAAATCATTTTATCGTAAGGAGTAAGTATCCAGAGTGACACGGTTATAGAGCGCGATACTTCAAAGATAAATAACTTTGTTAGGCTTAAGCCACAATCTAGACAACTGAAAGCATTTAAGTTTGTTAAATTATGTGATATTTATATATGATACCCAAAAGAATCACAACCATTAATTTAATAATTCTTTAGAATTTTGTTCTACAAAACCTTAATAATAAGATATCTTAATTATTTAATTTAATGTTATAACTGCTTTAAATAAAAACAAGTTATATATTTTCTTTTTTATATATCAAAGGCGGCAAACGAGCAGATGGCCTAGTTGATGAAAGGTAGTCACGTCGCCCATGTAGATCTGGAGCATAAGAAATGTTGTAGATGTTTGAAATGCTTGGTTTTTTGAGAGGGAGAGGAAAGGCTAGGAAAACGGAAAGAGTGGGAATAGGGAAACCGGCTCTCTTACTCATAGGACAAAACGCAGCCATCAAGGGCTAATTCACCCAAGAACAATCAAAAAACACAAAAACAGAATGTTTTTGTCTCGACTTTATTAAAGACTTTTTATACACAACATGATTTTATTTTTATTTCAAAATGCACTACATAAACACTCTAACTAACACATTTTATTTGTACAGCAACGAAAAAACAATTTATTCCGCAGCATTCACTTCAATATAGAAAGCGGAAATTTTTATCACTTATAAACGAAAAGCTATGTGAGTATATAAATAATAAATAAATTGAACTCAACAAAGGCTTTCAACATATCAGACTAAAGCGTCAGGAGATGAAAACAATTTGAAAATCGGTTAAGAACAAGATTAATCTATTTGTTTAATAATTTGGGTATCAATTATAATTTAATAAACCGCTTTTATTATTGACCACTCTCAACGGAATAAAGTTTTCGTTACGATGACCAAAACTTTTGATACACTGTATGAGTGCGGGATCTATTGCGTCGCAGGGAGAGGAGTTTCAACAGTGCCTGAGACTTGCGACCCAGGTGTAGGTTTAAACGCGCTTTAAACGCTCGCCTCAACCGCCCAAGCTCCTCTCTCTACCAAATTTGGAACGAACCTACAAGAGCTGCCTTCGAAATATTTTGTAAGAATGAATTGATTCACAAATACAGAAATACATCTGGTCTGGATCAATTTTTTTTATAAATATCCATCATTGTTGGCGTTACATGTTTCTAGTTATGATTACGATTAAATTATGCAGATAAATGTATAAGTACATACATATTAAAATAGGGATCCTTCCAAATATATATGTATGTATATAAAGTGGTTACACTTTGCACCAAGCTTTTCAGGGAAATTGTTTCAATATATTTTTGAACATAATTCATTGTTTAATGAAGTATTAAAACAAATTAACATTTCCTACTTTGAAAATATGTTTAAAATACAGTGAAAACATTATTAAAACGAAGTCATATTTTACATACTTTTATAACATATAATACAGACAGACGCCAATTAAAAATCCTCTTGATATCTGAGTTGATGTATTCACACTAAAAAAAAAAATTAATTGCACGGAAACATTTACATGTTTCTAGTTTTCACAAAATATTAATTCAAAATTAAATAACAATACTTCTTTAATATTTTTAAGATAAATTGTTAAAAAACTCTCATTTACTATTCGTACTTCGTACTTTTTGTTTATATAGTAATAATATTCATTGATGGTTGTATTAGAATAAATTGAAGTGAGACAAACAAAATGAAGGCCTCTCATGATTCAGGTCAAGTAACGATATTCTGTAAACGTGGAACAGAAAAATTGAGTATGTCAAAGATCATGGATATTGAGAAATATTTATTATTTTATGGTAAAAGCGGGCAATTTGCAAAATTTCTGAGAATGACAACCAAAAACTTTGAGAGCTTTATCAAGAAGAGATTAGTTTTAGTATTAAATACCAATATTTATTATTAAAAGGTAACAAAAATAAATTAATAGAACAGTGAGAAATTTTCTAATACATGTGTATTGGATTAAATTCAGGTTAGTGCCTAAAAATAGAAATATGTAGGTATGTACATATGTGACATCTTACATAAAATATTTTTAAAATATTAATTTCAACAAAAATTTTATTGTTTTATGTAAATATTCGAGAACGATGTTTTAGTTATAATAAAATGTATTTCCCTTAATAACCCTGAACCATTTCGTATATTAAACATATTTTGTTGTTTAATGAAGACACTTCTAGTCATTTCAAAGTATTAAAAGAGATTTTGGCACTTTTAATACAATTTGAACAAATTTTGAACCTAAGATAGCAATAAAATAAAAAATATTGTTAGCCTAGCTTAATAAGGCAGCATTATCAGAGACAGTAATTCTTAGCCCGTTTAAGATTTCAATAATATGTTTATAATAATTCATTAAAAAATAAATATATAGAATCCAAAACATTACGAAGGACATTTATTTATTACATTTGATATTACTGAGATTAAAAATTATAGTGTCGTGTAAATACACGATAAATAAATTATAAAATTATAACACTATATTAAAGTAGTTCATGTGACAAATTGTTGTCAACTATCTGGACGAGATACAAGAATGTGCTTTTCTATATATTAACCGAATACA